GGGGGGGGAATAGAATTTCATGATAATCATGGCCCCGAGGGTTCAATGTAGAATTTAATGGCCATTTCGGCCACTGTATAATGAGTGTTAATGAAGGGACCACAAGTGCCAATAAGCTATAACAAGCAATATGGGATCGATCATGCAGACAACCCCCCATGCACCCCGATGGCACAGATGACGTAACGTCGTCTGGTAATGGCAGATACACACGCCAATGATTTCGGAAACACGTCGATTTCCACGTCCGTCGGGTCCAATAATATATATATATATATATATAACGCCGGCGGATGGAGGACAAACGTCCCACGGAGTACGTGTAGACGCGAGAGGCACCGTCCTATAGCACCGCTATATACGCCTGCAGTATACCACCGCTATATACGCATGTAGATAACACCGCTATATACTCATGCAGTATACACCGCTATTATACGCATGCAATAACCGTGAAAGGATTTGCGGATCGGTTTCCCCCGCCGATGCCCTGATACGTGATGGCGGCATCGCGCCCCAGCAGCAATTAGGTAAACAGCTCAGTCGGTCAGCAATCAGACTCCTGCTGCGGCTAGGCAACAGCATGATGCTTGACCACTGGCCGTCCACGATTAGCGACCGCCGTATTCGGTGTGTGGCGCTAATCAGAACTATACCCTTACGGCGCTGCTAGAAATATACATACGCGTATCATAAACACTGATCTCTCTCTCTCTCTCACTATCTCTCACTTCTCTCTCTCTCTCTCCTCACTCTCTTCTCTCTCTCTATATATTATATATATATATATATATATAATGGTAGTCTGTAGATAAATTAAAGCAAGACATCACTTTTAGCCGTTACTTCGAGTTTCACGCTTACGCGATCATCAGACAGACTTTAATGAAGAATAAATCTTCTATACATGCTATAACCTATATATACATGAATGGCGGCTATTGTTTTAGTTATTTATTGTTACGTAGTTCTATAGTTCTATAGTTAATCGATCTATTGTTCTGCTGTCTATTTTTGTTCGTCTTTTGACTTTCTTTGTTTGTTTCTAATCTTATTGCCGCTATTTATATCTGGGGCCGGTTTCACGAAGCGTGATTAACTCTAATTATGTTAAATCACTAATCATACTTAACTCCCCGTAATATGATTAGTTAATCACTATTATTTCACGAAGCGATTTAAGTACATATTTAACTATCACATAGTTAAACGAATTAAGTACGTAATTAGCAGACTTAATCATATTTAAAATGGCGGATATTGACCCAACGCAAATGCTAATTCATCCCGAAAATCAAACAAGAGCGAAGAAACGCAAGTCGAATTTTACAGCAAGTGAAAAAACATATCTGCAGACCTCGACAAGGATAATTTCAAGTACTATTCGGACAATTTACCAGTAACTTACTGCAAAAATGAAGAGCGAGAAATGGGAGGAGATGCCGGAAAGATAAATGCCATAGGTGCGGAAAGCAGCAGAACAGTAGCGGTGTTAAAAACTCTATGGAACAACCTATCTATAAAAACAAACATTCAACAGCAGTTCCTAGACTTATACAGGGTAGGATAATATATATATATGTTATATATTATATGTATTATATATAATATATATATATATATATATATACATATATTAGTGTATACACATATATATATATATATACACATACATACATAACCACATATTTATATAAATGACTTGTACAACATTGTCTGAACTCGGCAGCACTGGTCTCATAACTATACTCTAACGGTAGACGGACTATCATCTATCGTATCCGTGCCATGAAAATTAATTTTATAATAATTATTTAAATTATATATATAATAATATATATATATATATATATAATATATATCAAGAGCTAATAATACATGTATTAATAATATATTAATATTAACAAAAAAAATGTATTATTAGCACTTGATATATATATATATATTTAAATATTATATAAATATAAAGTATATATGTATAGTTAAGGCGGCGCACATCGAAGTTATTTTATCAAGTAAAAGACTCGTGGTAATTTTACTCATGTTGCGGCCCGCACATTCGTTGAGTAAAATGACTCATGAGTCATTTTTACTCACGATCAACCGTGTTTGATAATTTTTGACTCATGAGTCATTTACTCAACGTTTGCGGCGCGCTGAGTAAATTTACTCAACACTGGTACTCACAGCGCATGCGTGTAAATCACTTTTGAAGATGGCTGCGACCAGAATAATGAAGTTATATCAGAGGAACAAACTTGTGGAAATCTGGCCCAAATTACACCAGCCTCTAACATAGTTCAACTGCCCAGGAATTTAAAAACGCGAGATATAAAGGATCGAGCATG